GTGCCTTTATTGGATCGTGTTAGTGAGAGAGAGAAAGGAAAGTAGGGAAAAGAACATTTGAGAAAGGGTCGTGAGCGGGATTTGAACTTATGACCTCCACATTGGGACTGTAGCCCTACACATAGGACACTAGCTCTACCAGGTGAGCTATAGCAGCAGCCCTATAGTACGACTTTTTTATTTCACGCCAAAACTCAAAATGACTTTTCTTTGTGAAATACTTTCCTCAGCAGAAAGCAGAAAGATAAATGAGATTAATCAGAAACAAAACTTTACCTCAGCTGCAGCTCAAACACACTTTTTACAGTGTACTGAGTGACAAACATACAATACACTGAAAAAAAATCTGTACTTAAATCATCAAAAATCACAAAACCTAGAGTCCACAAAATCACAAACACGTTAACTTCATCCTCCTTCACTCAAAAGTCATGAATGTAAAATCTTTTTTCCCAGTCCAGGCCACAAAGTCAAGGGTTACTGCACTGGTGTGTGTGTGTGTGTGTGTGTTCACTTAAATGCACACTCGGCTGTTTGTTGACTTAAGATCATAATATGTGGTAGGAGGACGATTACGTGTGGGGAGCCCAAGTTTCCACACGCCTCGAGTGTTTCTTCTTCTGCTGTGTGTTTAGGATCACAACCGCTCCGCTGGGTTTGTCGGATCATGCGGTTAGCGGGCCGCCTTGTAGCTCCGGCTTCGGTTGAGATGTCATGAAGCATTATAATGAGAAATGATGGAGAGTCTTCAAGGGAAGCAATAACAGTGGACTGACAGCTTTAGATTCATGGCTCAGCCGTCCTGTCTGTGTCTCCTGCAGGGTGTCGGGTCCCCTCCTGTCTCCTGGGATGAAGGGAACGCCGACGCCTCCTCCTCCGCTGGAGAAGCAGCACATCCACCAGCACCACAAGCCCTACGCTCACTATCACCATCATCAGTCTGCCAGCGACGGTAAGACTAACCCGGAGGCTTCTGGCCCAACGCAGCCGAACTTGTTTCAGGAAATATGTTCTGGCTTGACGCTGAAAACATTCATCGGTGTTCCAATTTAATATCCTTAAAATGTTTCCTGTGGCAGGTGATTCACTAACAGGCAGCCTGCGTATTACTTCCTGCGATGGAAGCGCCAGAACACTTGAATATAATTCAATTCTGAACACCCCTTGTGTTCTCTTTCAAACGCTCGCCGTACCACCAGACCCACATGAAAGGCCTCTGAGAGAGGAAGTCGTCTCTCGGAGCAGTGATACTGCCCCTGTGGCTCTGTCAGAACATTTTCAGGACAGAAAGAGATTAGAGTTGTAGAGACAGAGTGGGGAAAACCACATGCCGGAAGCCTTTTCCCTGCTCTGAATTAGCCAACAAAACGCTGGCTCATGTGTTCAGCTGTCTCTCAGCGTCCTAACGCGGCAGGCTCGGCTGTCACTCCCCAGCCTTTTTCCTAATGCCTTAAACACTGTTTTCCCTGTAAAGATCTACACATGGACGTCTCTCTAACCACGCTGTGGCCGGGGAGTTGCGTAAAAGCGCTCCAGGAAGGTTGCTTTCCCATTATCATGACTCCTGCGGTCGATTCTGAGTACAAACTGAGACGACGGGGACAAATGCAACACACTATGGGAGTTTATAGAGTTAGCACAAATATAGCATTGTCATAATTCGAGATCCACATTAGGTTTCAGCCGGATGGACGCTGAACTGAAACAACTGCCCATAGTCGCCGGTGGCAGCTGATCAAGTCTGGCTTCTATTTTTCTCCTCTACATCCTCCCTCGTTTCCTAGAATACCAGGGCAGCTTTCAGAGCTGCTTCCATTTCGGAGACTCCTACAGGATGGAGCAGACGGTCGGTGGTGTCCACGTCCCAGGAGATTCTCACGCCTACACAACCCATCAGCACAATGGCTTCCACATGTCGGGCAGCAACACTGGCTCTGCAGGTGGGGAGCTTTTTTTTTTTAATCTAATCATAAAAAGATCACCTGAATGATTGCTTTGAATATGAAACATTTCGTCATGTTCCAGGCTTCAGCTTGACCCAGGAGCTGCAGGGAGGCGCAGGGTGCCAGTTCTCCTCCAGCCCAGAGGAGAGCATCTTCTTCCCGGTGGGCAGCTTCGACCGCAGCTTGAGCCACATGTCGTCCGTCTACACAGAGACATAAAGCAACACTGGAGCAGGACACGCTTCACCACAACTACTCCACAACTCCGCAGTCCAACTTCCTTCACGCTCACACTCTTAGGTCACCGCCTTAGTTCTAGTTTCTTTTCCAGAATAACACAGGTCACATTGTAAATGGGTCTTAGTTGTGCACCAAATGGAAACCAGCAAAATGAAACACGTACAAATTTTGCAGGTCAGTTAAGCAGCATGTAATTATGACACTTAACTGACACGATCGGAATGGAAATTACAGAACTGTGGTTCCCAACCTTTATGCCTTATGACCCCTTAGAATAAAGAAAATCATCTACTTGGACCTCTCATCAGCAGCTGCAGCCACTTACAGCAAAAACATCTGATTTTTTTTATTTTTAGATGAATAATTTAAGGTTAATCTATTCTGTAATTACAAAAAAATGAAAGAAAGATTTAAAGAAAATCTAAAAAATCCTGATAATCAGATGTATCACCAGTATTTTCTCCCTTCACGTTCTGTTAAAGGTGCACTTTACCAGTTTTATGATAGGTTAACGTGCACTTCTGTGGCTGTGAAGGAAGTCTTTTTTTATAATATTTCTCAGTTTCTGCTGGATCAGTTCAGAATATCTGTTGTTAATCTGGCTCTTGCATAACAAAAGTACAATGCCACTTGCTGGAAGGTCCCGTTTTAATCATCTTGCAACACTTTTTTTGATTTCTCTTGTGATTCAGACCTGCAAGTTGGGAACCAGCAGGCGAGAAGAAGTTTCAGTATTTAAAGAGAAAGATTTAAAGTGTTTAATCTGTTTCTGGCTGTGAGAATTTTTATATGATACGATACGAGACACAAAAAATGAAACGGACACGAAGGAAAAACAACATCTGGCCATTCAGCAGTTACACAGCTGATGATCTTTTCTGATTAGTTTCACCTTTATTGTCCAGGAACTCATCACGTACAGGGACTTTAATACATCGGTGCTAGAAGTTGCACACTTAAAGTTCAATCAGACTTTGCTTATTCATGCAATACCTTCAGTTTTACTATATAAACCATAACACTCCTGAACAGACTCCAAATCAATCGTCCTCTCCCTCCTCTTTGTGTTTTTTTTTCTCTCTAATCTACATCTTTCAATCTGTTTTAGACTGAAGTGTAGATAATAATATATCATTTTTGCTGTGCTGTTTTAGCAGTGGAAAAAAAAAAAAGACGTTTGCATTTCTGTATTTTGTTAAGTGTTTTTTTTTTTTTTTGCTTTTTGGATTTATCTCTGGAGGAGGGTTTGGCCTCATTAATTCTGCAATAATGCAGAGAAACCAACCGACTTTATTATTATATGTATAAAATGTACAGTTTGTTTACAGCAATCATTTGAATGTTTGTCATTTCTCAATTTAAGAAATAAATAACTGAATGATCACACAATTGTTAACATTATTTCGTGAGGTTTAGAACGCTTTAACTGTAGCACCCTGGGAAAAAAAAAGAAAAAGGAAACCCTTCAGATTGTGGGGAGGTTGTGCCCTCTAGTGGACACAGATGAATACTGCAGACGAAGGAAAAAAAAACCTAATTCACTGTATAAAACCCTTCCAGCTGACACAATACTCTCATGTCAGCACTTCTCAGAAACCCTCAGTGTGTTTGGTTATGTGTAACGCCTCATCAGCGCACCTCACTTCTGCTTCTGCTTCTTCCTCTGGCTGACGTAGCTCTGATAGTAGAAGTTGCTGAAGAGGATGATGAGGGTGACGCAGTAGCCGAACACTAACAGGTTCATGGAGTCGGGGAAGTCGCAATCCGCCATCAGGTTTTGGCCGGTGTACAGGAGGAACAGCACAAACTGCACCTGGAAGGGGCGGCAGGCAGAGTTCGCATCAGCTGGAACATTAACACGTCCATTTGTAATATCGGTTACAGAGAGCTGGAGGTGCTCACCAGCTGCAGAGATGTCAGGTAACGTTTCCACCATAAATACTTCTGCATGTGAGGCCCGATCGCAGCCAGGCCGTAGTAAGCGTACATCACCACGTGAACGAAGGTGTTGACCAGGCCGATGAAGAACGCTGCAGGAGGTGGTGCACACGAAAGAAACATTTTAGAAAAGGTATTTAAAAAAAGTTAAATATTAACTATGCATTTTAATTTGTGGACCATGCGTGTACATTGAAAATATTATTACTCGTGAATGAACAGTCATTTAAATGCCAAATGATTGTATCACTTATCAGTAATAGCATTACTTATAATCTCACAAATATCGACAATCAAAAACAAATACAGAAACACTATATTGAAAAAAACAGGCCCGAAAGTAGAAAGTCAATGCAGCAAAAGTGAAAACACCTGTGATCGCTGACACACAAGTTAGAAAACTGGAACTAAACTATAGCACTTCTGTGATTTCCACTTGGCCAACTGCAAAAATATGGCTAGAACTTCCTGTTTTGGAGCTACAGTCATCCTCAGATTTCTTCATACCCTCCCATTAAAGAAGGAAAAAAACTGGTGTCACTGAAACAAGTAGAAATTGACAAAAGTAATAACAAATAAAAATTTAATGAAAATCATGACGGTGCTTTTGAACTGTGGTTCAACAGAAATAAAAATAAAAAATGTTTTAAAAAACAACAACAAGCATGATGGGACCCGAAAACTAATATTTCGTTGAGCAACCCTTTGAGCCAAACACTGCAATCAAGTGTTTTCTGTAACTCTCAATCAGACTTCTGCACCTGTTGACAGGTGTTTTGATTTTGGCCCACTGCTCATCAGCAAAGTGCTCTAATTTGTCCGTGATGGTTATTTATTTTTAAACTATTCTTTTCAACAACAACTCAAAAGCAAAGTTTTATTTCACTAAATTATAATTTAGCAAATTTTTATTTATTATTACTTTTTTCAGTTTCTAGTTATTTGAGTGATTATTGTGAATTTTGCCTTTTCTTTAATGGAAGGGTCTGAATACATTTGAGGACGGCTGTATGGGCTACAACATGGCTCCACATGGAAAAGAATTGCCAACAGAAGCAAAAAATCAGATTGTTGGACTTCACAAAGATGTAAAAAAAAACCCAGAAAGTTCAATAACCAGCTAAAAAAAAAACAGTTAAACACAGTAGCAGCAGTAATCAGGAGATACTAAATGAGGCATAGCAAGGAGCTGCAACGTCCAGCCTCCTGAAATGACCCCACGAACACAGCACCACTTTCACAATCTACCTCCATAAAACAGAACAGCAAGTGCTTCAGACTTGGCACAATAAATATCAGTAGAAGTCTGCTCAAACAGTGTGAAGGTCAGTGACTAACATCAACCTCTACGGACGGCGTACAAGAATAAAACCGTGTTTGCTCTTCGTTGCAAAACTCACTCGACAAAACTTTGCTCACAGAAAGTTGAAAGGATAGTAGTGCCGCATTCTTTGGTCACATGACTGTCAGATATGTGTGGCTCACATGGGTATCCCACATGTTTGAACCTGCCCAGCCCCACAACTGTCAATGCATAGTTCTGAGTGAATCACATGGTGGGAGCGTGATGATACAAAGCTGCATGACTACAAAAGGTGTTGGGGGAGATGACATTTATAGATAACGCCATGAATACCTGCGGTCAAAGCAAAATACTGGCTGACAGGTTGACTTCCAGTCTGCGGAAGCTTGAAGACGAGAAACATTCCAGCAAGCTAGTGATGCAAAACCACGCAACCTCGACAGGTATGTCCCCGAACTTTAATCCAACACAACACCTGTGGGGACTTATTAAGAGAACGACTTGGCAACACAGCAGATAGCAGTGGATAGAAACAGTCTCTAAAGAATGGCAGAACATCCATCCATTATCTATACACCGCTTAATCCTCACTAGGGTCGCGGGGGGCTGGAGTCTATCCTAGTTGACTTGGACAGGTCATCAGTCTATCGCAGGGCCACACTTTGAGACAGACAACCAAGCACACCCACATTCACACTTATGGACAATTTAGAATCACCAATTAACCCAGGGGTGTCCAATCCTGGTCCTTTAGGGCCACAATCCTGCATGTTTTAGATGTGTCCCTCTTCCAACACACCTGATTCAAATGATCAGCTCATCATCAAGCTCTGCAGAAGCCTGATAACGATCCTGATCATTTGAATCAGGTGTGTTGGAAGAGGGACACATCTAAAACATGCAGGATTGTGGTCCTAAAGGACCAGGATTGGACACCCCTGAATTAACCTTAACATGTTTTTGGACTGTGTGGGAGGAAGCTGGAGAACATGGAGAGAACCCATGCTGCACCCTAAACCTAACCACGCAGAAAGGGTGTCCTCACCGGGACGCAAACCGGCAACGGTGCTAACCACCGAGCCACCTTGCAGCCCATGGCAGAACATCCATCCATCCATTATCTATACACCGCTTAATCCTCACTAGGGTCGGCGGGGGGCTGGAGTCTATCCCAGGGCGAAGGCAGGGGACACCCTGGACAGGTCACCAGTCCATCACAGGGCTACACTTAGCGATAGACAACCACTCACTTTCACACCTACGGACAATTTAGAATTACCAATTAACCTCAGGTGGAAGGTGGAGAACCCGTAGAGAACCCACGCTGCACGGGGAGAACATGCAAATTCCACGCGGGAAAGATTCCGGGGCCCCCACCAGGACGCGAACCGGCGACCTTCTTGCTGCGAGGCAACAGTACTACCAACTGCGCCACCCTGCAGCCCCATGGCAGAACATGTCTGCAGAAATTTGGTTTTGTCCTCAAAAATAAAGAAGGTACTGAAAAAATGAAAGGTTTGAATTCCAGTAATGGCTCTGGTTGCACTAAGTTCCTACTGTGGGGTCTGTATTATTAGTAGGGCGCATTTAAAGTGCTAGTTTTTAATTTTACAGAAGTGCAAATACACTACTGTTCAACTCACAACTGTAAGGAGGTACAACATTACGCTCTACACCACAGTGGAGCGCTCACTTCTGTTGTAACTTGTAGTTTCGGTTTATTGCTCATTTATTGCTGGTTCAAGTAATCTTATGTGATTATTTGGAGGCCAGACAGCAACCTTTATCAAGGTCACACAACTGATATTTTGCTACTGCTCAAATGAAACGACTTACACTGTCCTCCGGCCACATACTTGATCCCCAACCACCAGTTGAAGATCATGGTGCCGTGATGGTACACGTGAAGGAAAGTCAGCTGATTGTTCTTCTTCCTCAGGATGAAGAAAATCTGCTCGGAAACAGAGCAGAAGCAGATATTTTATTATAGTCCTGCAGCGTAGCCCTTCTAGAAAACTGACACAAATGTTGTAACAAAAGGCGTACCGTGTCGCTGAGCTCTATGACCTTGGAGAAGAAAAACCACCAGCACACTTTGGCCATCTGAGGGAGGACATGATATGATTCCAATGTGAGTGAATTAAACTTCTGTACAGACAAAATGATCAGACACATCCAGCGAGGGACATTCTTACCCTCATTGCCAGCGGATTGGTGCTGTAGTCTACAGGCTGACAGAGGAGGTTATAGCTGGAGAGCCACGATGTGACAAAGAACTGGAAACATTCAGAACAAAAAATTTATATCATAACACAAGCAAACGATGAAATAAGGACAACTGGAAATGTTTAAATCTGTCTGTTTTCAGTCATAATGTCATTTGTGAAAACCACACCTCGTAGCACATGTACCCCGACAGGCCAACCATGGCGAAGTTGTAAACAATGAGAACTACTTTGAGGTCAACGGGTTCTCTGTGTTTCATCAGACGAGGTCCGGCCCAGACCACAAAGAGGTAAACCAGGAAGATGAGCGCCACCGGGACGGGGGAGTAGACCAGCAGCCACGGGTCCGTCCTCTTGTCTGGGAGGATGACACAGCTCTACATCAGGGACTCAGCCAATCATTCACAAATTCACAAATAAATGACAGGAAAGCATGTCGAGGAGTGAGTTTTAGAAGCTGCCTTGATTTCACCAAACTTAGTGCGATGTGTTCGGTTTTGACCGTGAGCACACTTAAACTTGGGGACAAAATATGGTGTTTTCTTCTGAAAAAGTCAACCAAGAATCAACAGAATTAGAAGCTGCTAGAACACAGGTAGCAGTGTCTGAAGTGTTTTACATCACCACGGGCTGAGAGGCTGCTGTGTAAGAAGGAAACCATTCCTCTAGGAGCACCACTTTAAGGCTAGATTGAAATTTGCTGCTGATCACATGGACAAAGAAAAGGCCTTCTGCAATAAGGTTCTGTGGTCAGATAAACCCGGTTAACAACTGCCCTACCAAAGGGATCAATAAAGTTCTATCTGGATCTGCGTTCTATCTGAATCTGAAACAAAAATTGAGCTATTTGGCCACAAAGACCAGAAATATGTTTGAAGGAGATAAGGTGAGTCCTTTAACCCCAAGAACACCAAACCTACGATGAAGCACGGTGGTGGCAGTATTATACTCTGCGGCTGTTTTGGTGCCAGGAAAACTGGTGCTTTATACAAAGTAAATCGAACATTGAAGAAGAAGAAATACCTCTACGTTCTTCAGGAAAACCTAAAATTATTAGCCTGAGGGTTGGATCTTGGATGCAGTTGGGTGTTCCAACAAGACAATGACACATCAAAAGTGGTAGAGAAATTGCTAAATCAGGCAAGAATTAAGGTTTTAGTCTCTTAAGTCTGAACTTAATCCCATCAAGAACCTGTGGACTGTGACGGAGAAACAAGCCTGTGATAGAAAGCAAACGAATTTAGTTAAACTGCACTAACTCTGTTAAGCGGAGTGGTCAAAGATACAACCAGAAGCTACCTAGTTGAGGTGAGAGTGGCCAAAGAATGGCTACCTATAAATAGCATTTCTGTATGTATATTTTTGACCCAAGAGATTTTTCCAGATCTATAACAAATGTATAAAAAAAATCTAAATGCATGACTGTTTTTGTGTGACGAGGACGATCAAAGTGTTTCGATGATTCCTTCACAGAAAATTAAGACTTATAGGAGTCGTTGGAAACTAAAGCCTGCTATGATTTGCAATGGCTTCAAAAGTAGGTAAGTAGTTTTTTTGTAAATTTGAACAACCTGATTATTAATAGTGACGCATCAGTGTGTCGGCAGCATGTTCCTGCTCTAGTTGCTGCTGTTGAAGAATTTCACCCATAGTCCTCGTACGATGTTTGCTGTAGTCGGGTGTTTATTACTATTCAGGTACACGGTGGGCTTTACCAACACAGAGTCTGTGAAGGTAAGCCGAGCCAGAACATTTGCAGAGCTACATATTTTATTTTTAGTATCATTAGTAGTGGTAGTTTAGTACATAGTTGCTAATCAATGACATGAAGTGAGAGAACAATCAATAAAAGGTGAATCAAGGGGGTCTGGCAGACGGTTGCAAAAGGTAAGGGAACTGTCAATAACAATGGAATAACGAGTGACACTAGGGTCGCAAAAGATGTGCTAATTTCTTCATCACTGCAGATACTTTAAACTATTTTATATACAGTTTTATAGCCATGGATGGATAAATCTGAGGACTCGTTACCATTAATGTGGTGAAAAGAAGACAAAACTAAGTTCTGATGAACAAATCTGTTTACAGTTTCTGGTTTGTCTCTAGTCTTTGATTCTTACCAACATATTGGATCACTTGAACATTCATTGAAATCAAACCACAGCAGAGGTTTCGAGGGGGGCAGTTACTATTATGGGATCTGTTAGCAGCTCAACAAGTGAGATGTGACCCGGCTACACACTGTCTTTTGTAATACGTCACACAGCAGCCTGTTATTAGTACATAGATCAACTTTTGGCTCTCTCCAAAGAGATCCGTTTTAAACCAGTTTTGTTAATTAGATTTTCATGAAGCATATTAGGCGTTTTGATTTCCGTCGAATAAGGCAACAGACTTGTTGGCTTCCCTGTACACGGACTGATCATTCTTACTGAGAGGAATTTATGACAGCTCTTGCGATATGAGTCATGATTTTAGTGGCAATCGTCATTTTTGTATTCCTAACAATTAATTTAAAACTATGACTGGGTTTGTGCTGTAGTCTGTACCAAACAAGTTATTTACATGTGGAGAATATGACTTGTAGCATCACAATGCTTCATTTATGGCACACTGTGACATCTTTCACCTTTTTTTTTTATGTGATTTTTTTTTTTACAATTTCTACAATCCACCCACACAAGCCTTTTCTGAGCCATAAAAACGTGTTAAAGTCAGAAAGGCTTTAAACCACCGGTTTAATCGTTAACAATGTGTTATATTTTAAAAAGAAACGACAGCTGCTGGATCAACGTGGTGGATGAGGAAGTGCATATTTCCCTCTGAAACGTGGTGGCGTGGAGGTGGAAAGAGCCCTGAAATAGTCAAGTAAAACTGTACTTAAGTGCAGTACTTGAGTAAATGTACTTAGTTACTTTCCACCACTGGTACAAGCCACAAAGCAGTCATTGTGGAGTCAAACAGAGGAGCAGCTCCCACACATTTATCAGACACACAAGGCTTTCTTTTACTCTGGTCATCTGTCGTACAACTGCAAGGAGCAGAAATGCAAAGAAAAAACTGGACATGTGGGAAACATAATTACTATCATACCTCCATTGTCCACTATCCTCTGGTGCACAGACAGGACACTTTGCCATGCAGAAGCCATCTGGAAGCAGGAAGGAATTCAAAGATTTTAAACAAGACAGACAGGAAAAAAAAAACAACCTCGGATTGTTACTCATGTGTTCAGTGGTGCTCACCTCGCAAACTGGTGGTTCAGCTGAGATGTTCAGCAGCGGCGTTGGAAAACCTTTGAACACTGTCTGGAGCCGCTTGTTGAATAACCTCAGGCAAAGTTGAACTTGTAAGCACGCCCTGCAGCAGCAGCAGCAGCAGCAGCAGCAGACACACTCAGATCCTGAGAGAAATGAATGAAGGCGGACTGGAAGGAAACAAAAGTACAGCAACGGACTCAGGAGGCTGGATACACCCTGGTACCGCGTAGAGAGCGTCCTTCATCCGACGAAGTTTGAATTAAGTGGAGAAACTGCTGAGGAAACATCGATCACTTCCTGTTTGTTCTGCTTCAGATCATCTGGCCGCTGGGTGGAGCCGCCAGGGGGCGCTGCGCACCGCCAAACTGTGACCTGCAGGGATTTCTGCTATTTGTTGCTTCCGCGTTGTGATCACATTGGAATGCAGCTGGATCCAGTTATTATGAAGTACTTACATAAATATTCATTTTAACGTCAATAAATGTGGCTCAAAATACATCCTGGAATGAATAAATGTGGCATAATGAAAATAAATAAATACAATTGGCAATAATTAAATAGGCCCCCTGAAAAAAATAAATAAAATAAAATAAAATAAATAAATAATTGGGAAATGAAAAATTCTCAAAAATAAATAAATGTAGACCCATGCAATTAAAGCAGTATCAATAAACAAATCTGATATTATAAAATTAATCCCCTAAAATAAAAAAAATGTCATAAAAAGAAGTCCCCTGAAATAAATTAATGACATAATCAATTAAATCCTCTAAAATAAAAAAGTGTCATTATAAATAAGTCCCCTGAAATACAAAAAAAGGAAACATTACAAAAAACTTCTATGAAAAAAATAAATGTATAATTATGAAAAAAAAGCCGCCCTGAAAATTAAATAAGTAACGAAAATGAAAAAGCAAATAAATAAATGTGACATTATAGCAGTCCCTTGAAATTAATAAATGTGACATAATGAAATAAGTCCCCTGAAATAATAAAAAACAATAATTTTGAAATGATTCCCCTGAAATAAACAGATGTCAATAATAATAACAACAACAGCAATACTAACAATAATAATAATAATAATAATAATAATAATAATAATAATAGTAATAAAAACTGAATTCTAAATTAAAGGTGACATTATTTAAAAAAAAAAAAAAAAAAATTTAAGTTCCCTAAAATAAGCAAATATGAAATAGAAGTTTTGAAATAAATTATTGTGGCATTGCTAAAAAGCAAACAAACAAACAAAAAATGCCCACAAAGAATTATTTTTTTACACATTTTTTCGTTAATATATTTATACATTTATTACAACATGAGAAAAATTGTGTAATTCTAATACAAATATATGCTTAAGTAGAGCACAAAATAGCAACTCTTTTAAAAACATATTGATAATAATCTTGGTTTTTGGTGGAAGCAGATCAGCAGTTCAGTCAAAGTTGTTACTATCATTATGTTTTCTACCTTTTTATTGTTGTACACTGTTGTACAGTTTTATTGTTGTTTTGTTTATTGTAAAATATATGACAGTTATGTTACATACTAGGTGTAAAACCACATAGTTAGTCGACATGAAGGAAGTTAAAATCCTGCGACAAATAGGCTAAATAGCAAAAACTTACAATAAAAAAAATAAAAAAATAAAACATGATCTACTTTATGTCTTTAAAAACAACCCAGCTGATGCATTACAGTCTAACTATTTAAAAACTGCTCCATGACACCACAATAACACCTGGAAGTGGACAGAGTGGTGATACTTCAGCATTAAGGCACAAATACACAGGAAGGCACCATGTGGGCCTTTCAGGAAGCCTAACAACATTCTTCTTTGACAGTCTTGAAGAAGGAGCTGAGTGAAAGTTGTCTGCCTCCGGTGTTGGCTGCACTCAGTTTCTGCTTCTTGGACGTCTGCAGCTTCTTGTCGTTCTTCAGGCCCGTCTGCTTTTTCCTTTTTCCATCCTTAGTAAGACAAACAGAGATAAATGACATAAATATGTTAGTAAAGGATTATAACATAAGCTATATTATGGAATATAGAGGAGAGCTTACCTTAGAGGTTTCCTCCTTCACACCGTCCACAGAATCATGAAGCTTCACAATCTGCAAGAGAGTTATTAAAAAGTTGATCCCACTTTTTGGCTAAAACCACATTAACCAGAGTACATCCCTGTTGAACTTGCTTCTAGTTGTCACCTACAGATGCTCCAAACAGCAGTGTGACATCACAGAGGAACTATTTGCGTTTCACATTGGAACAGGTTTTAACTTGTCAACAAAACAAACACAACATCACCAACCGCTTTTAAGGTATGGAGATCGGTTTGAGCCGTCGCCATTTTTGTTTTTTGGAGCCAGACATTCCAAGCGAAGTGTGGATCTGACTGAGAACTCAAGAGCACAACGCACCTGACAGCTACGAGGTAGCCCCGCCCTAAAGCTTATCCTGCTTTATCGCCTATTTGTACTCTACATGGGGCTGTAATTCACTAAATGAACATCATATTGAATTCAGACAGCCTTCAAACTAGCAACTGAAACCAGAAACCTATTAGAAAAACACTTAGTGGGGTAACAAGTCAAGTGAGAAGCAGAGTATTATTTTCATAAACATCTGTAGAATCTGAATGTTTTTGCACAATGACAGTCGCCCCCTGCTGGCTGACAGAGAGAACGCAGCTTTAAGGCTTTTATTCCATTGGGGCCATTTTCACTATGAGTACACATGTACTAAACAGATATGCAGAAATACACAATCATAGGAGCTAAAATATAATTTCAAATATAGTGAAAATCATACTAATAAACTGTACTGATGATTTATGCATATAAGAAAAGGCCATGTGTGTCTGAAATAGATGGTCAGTATGTGAAAGGATGTTCTGACTCCTCCATGTGTCGGAGCCTTTCATAGTCAAATCAAATGATATGATAGAACAGAACTTTATAGTCATTGTTAAACAAAAGTCAGTTTAGCAGCTCTTTAAATTAGCAAGATGTACCAAAAAAAAATCTCGTACAGAGTCTGAATGTAAACCTGAGGTGATGCAGCTCATAACAAGGGAAAAGAATCAGGTGATAATCAAACTTTAGGGAGATCTATGATGCACGTTGGGTACGAAAAAGCATCCTATTTATGTTAATGCTTTCTGTGAGCTCAACACCAGCTCGGTTTGTCGTAGGCTGCTCTGTGCTTTGTCAAATAAATGTATAAGTGGGCTGAAGATCGCCGACTCTGCTCCGTTTTTCTTTATCTCAGATGATTCTTTGGTGTTTAGAGGAATTCAGGGAGGGTGGTAGTCAGATTACAAACCCACAACACCATCTATGCATCAGCAAATCTAGGAGTCGCTTTTTGTTGTATGTGTATATTTGCGTGTGCGTATTTCCTTGTCTGGCGAAGAGCGAGGCCCAGTATTTACAGAAGTCGAGGTTGATCGGGTGTCACTGGTTTGAGAAGAAGCAGAGTTTTTCAGGTTTATATTTCAGTTTGAGTATGTTTTATCAATCTGCATTCTCACTTTGATCACGGAAACTTCTGATTGAAAGCATGCGTCACCACCAAACCTCAGATTTAGCCCCTCAGTGGCTTTCAAGCACAGCGACTAGTCTCCACATACAGTACATTTGTCCAGGTAGGCCGCTGCTGCACGCCTCCTGTGAGTGATAATCAAGTCCATTCTCGGTGCTGCAGGTACTGCTAACCTCAATTACACAGCAGGGGCTCTCAAAAAGGGTGTAGAAATAAAAAACAACACAGACCTTTTTCAGTCCTGTGGACACAGCGGCTTCCTGCAGAGCGGCTCGACTGAGCCACTGTGTGTTTTCAGTCTGCGTGTCACCCTCCGTCAGACGCACACTGTAAACCACATACGTCTGGTGGATGTGGGAGAAGACGTGAACCACCTGCAATCAGCACAGCGCAGCTACAGAAACGGCTTATTTGCACATAAAAGCGCTTGACGGATAGGTGTTGAATATCAAGCGTACCTCTCCCACGTACTGGAGGAGGCTCTCGGTCAAATTGGTTCCCAGTTTTCGGCTGATTTCATCACACAGAGCCCTCTTGTGTTTCATCTCAGAGTTTTCCTCCTCGAGCAGAAGACTTGGAAACTCCCACAGGCCTGCCAGCAAGCCTGAAAACACACACAACGCTTGCATATGTTCAATGTGTTCATGCAGCCCACCCAAATAGATGTAGTTTTTGTGTTTTTTTTTTATTTAATTTTTCTAACTGGAACCGACTTGAAATGAAGTCACAGCTGCAGAATGACAGCCGGCTTCCACACCTATGACTCACTCCTCACATCCTCAGTTTTTCTCAGTGATTCAAGGAGGAAAGTGAAATTGCATTTAACAGGGGCTCTCAGAGCATCTCCCAGCACAAAGAAGCTGCAGCAGGTGCTTCTCGGCTCGAGGACAGAGAAGTAAAAAAGTGGTCTGGAGCACCAAGTTTAATTCTCACCCTTTTGTTGTGAAGACAGACTGAAGTTTCAGCATTACTGAGTCTTTATCAGAGTAAAAATGGGCAAAGATGTGACGCAAACAGACATATTCAACCTAAATCTGGTGTGTAATTCTCTCTGGATAACTGGTTGGATGACAATTATACGCCTGGTTTAGATTAATCTATCCAATGCCTCTGGTCTTTGTCCATTCCAGACACAGTGGTGTTGAAACTTTAGTGTGTTTGCACAACAAAATGCCCAGAATTATACTTGAAACTTTATTCTAAGGATTAAGCAGTGTGCTCCAGCCCCACTTTTTGCTCTCTGATATTCTATGTATCAGGCCAGAAGTGACTGAGTTTTGCAGCCAACCCTTGACCAGCACAAACAGATCCTCCTGCAATACTCTGCAGAGCGCTGACCTTTGTTTGGTCTCTGGATCAGCAGATACTCGTCCCCTCCCTCCTCTCCAGGTCTGGTCACCACGCAGGTCAGAGTTCGCTCCACTCGTGGCGGCTTCTTCGCCGGCTTCCTGGGAAAGTTTTGAACGCCGAGCTCGTCGTCCCAGGGCTCAGAGGGACACAGCGAACATGTTCCACTGTTCGCTGAGGAGAACGAGAACTGTAATACCACGACTACAGAGAGATGTTTGAAGGAGAGAAGAGGAGGCAGGAGACTTACTGCAGTCTTCTATATCAGGCAGGTTTGCGGTCTTTCTGGCCAGTTTCCCTAAAAGCTTCTTAGAGTTTTGTTCTTGTTTGACATGAACCTGAACACAAGTAAAAGCATCAAATCACACAAAGAAATCCTGAACTTTCAGATCTTCTGTGTTTCTTTTCGGCACCAGTCAGAGCTTGAAGTCATATCAAACCTTGCGATAAGAGTGGCAGTGAGACTGGACGGGACACTGGCTGCACAGGGGGCCTTTAGGGGTGCAGACTCTGGCTCCCAGCTCCATCATGGCCTGGTTGAAGTCTCCCGGTCTCTCTGGATCCACCAGCGTGTTAGCTAGACTCCTGAAAACATCATTTTTATTTTAGTGTGTCACCATCCAAAATGATTTACATGTTTGCAAAATGACTTCAGTTTGGAGGCGAATCTCACCAAAGCGCCTCCGTCACTGCAGGACTCGTGCTGTCGGCTCCGATGGCTCTCAGGCGACACAGCACCCGAATCACATTGCCATCTACAGCTCCGGTAACCTTGGCAACAGAGATCATAGAGATAAATAGGGGAGTTTAGGGATCAAGTATGACCTGGTCTATAGAAGCACATAAAAGCTCTGGGGCCGGTTGCACAAACAGAATGTGAAGAAAGTCGGGCTCAGCTACGTCTAGCTTTGTGATAAACCTGTTGCTCCATCCAATCAGTGACTAGACACAGCTATAAGTAGCACAGATGATGTATGTCCTCTCTGACATTTTCTACCAGTTTACATGTCGATTATGTTTGCTATGATCACAAAGTCCTGTTTATAACTAACTTTAGCTGCGAAACAAGAAAAAAATCTGAACTTTACAGTCAGTATATGCATATTTTAGAATGCAAACAATTCAATAGCATAAGAAAAAAACAAGACTTCTGGCAGATGATGAGACAGTCAGACAGCTGGCAAAGAAGAAAAAGTGGAGGATCTGTCCTCCTAAAATCTCACCCAACAGCACAAGTTAAGGACAACGAGGTGTGTCAGGAAAGTTTCAGGACTGGTGTCACAAAAGATATATTTCAAATCCAAACTACAAGTTCTCCCCTTCTAAGCAATCCCCCTAGAGTCTAACACACTTCCCCAGCCTTCTCCGCCACGCCACCATGCACTCCTGGAACAATTCTTCCAGGATCCTCCACAGCTCTGTCGTCACAGCCATCTTTATGCCGTCCACGCCTTCAAAACAGGTCCCCTTGACGACCCCCTTGAGCTTGACGTGCTGGTTGATTGTCGGAAGGGGAAAACTTGTAGTTTGGGTTTGAAATATATCTTCTGTGACACCAGTCCTGGAACCTTTCTGACACACCTTGTACACCCCAGTAGTGCAGCAGACAGCGTATTCATGTCTCCTGACCAACCTGTCCCAGTGCAATAGAGCCTATAGCTGCAGCGGTGTAGCGTCCAACTCCAGGCAACTGTTTCAGCAGACTGTCAACTGTCCGAGGCATCTGTCCCTTCAGCTCCGACACCACCTACAAGGAAACAGCCAAACAAATAACTAAGGCTGAACGATTTGGAGAAAATATCAAATATTCTGGCACATATTGTGACTAGATTTGGGATGCGACTTGTTAAAGTTGTGCTTCAATTCAATATTCACTGTGGTACCAATTGAACATATATCATGGAGCATAAGACACCATCAAAAGAGTGATGATCACACAAAGAGGACAGCATGACCTGCTGCATAACGTACATCCTAATTTGCAGCAGGTGCACTTTGCTAACTGCATTGCTTCAAATTGTAGTTTTCATTTTAAATTGATTCATTGTGCAGCTGTACAGTTACCACTAAAATCACATATAAACAATCCACACAATTTACTTCACTTCAAGAAAGGTAGATACAAGCTACAGAAATGTTTGATGCAGGAAAAAGTCCAGCAGAGACCTTCTGCGCTCCTTCATGCAGTCTTTTTCCACGGGAGTAGTATCCGAGGCCCGCCCACATCTGGTTCACCTCCTACTCATTCATGAAAAAAATGGAATTTGTAGGGAATGCAGTTTTATTTATTCATGTTTAAATGTACATACTGTTTTACTCAATCACCTCTAGTGTAGCAGCTGCTAGATCCTGCACTGTGGGCCACCTCTGAAACACAACAAATACAGGGTCTGAATTACACATAATAACAATAATCCAAAATACGGAAAACCTACAAGACGCCCACCTTCATCCATTTGTTGAAGTAGTCTATCACTGTGGCAACCTGAGTCTGCTGCAGCATGATTTCTGAAACCCACACTGAAAAAACAGAAAGTAAAGCAGCCACTTAAAAGAGCGCAAGTAGCAGGTAGAGACACAAACATCTGTGAAGATTCTGTCTTCTTACCTGCATATGTTCTGATGTTGAGGTCTGATTCTGTCACAGCCTGCAGAGGAAACACAGGAAGCCAGTCAGGAGAGTTTTTACGTCGCTTCATGTGTGTCATTAAAAGATGAGCTACAGTTTCTAAAAAAGGCAACCAGACAGTTTTGCAAAGAAAAATGGGTTCAGATTGAAATGTCCAGATGTGCAAAGCTGATTGAGCTCCATCCACACAGGCTAAATGCTGTAATTGAGCCCACTTCTATGTGTTATATTTCAATTAATTGATGAATTTGTTTTAACTTTGACATTAAAGAGTCCTTTTTTTTTTGTAAATTCTTGTCAAAAAAGCCAAACTAAATTAATGACTCAACGCTAAAAAGCAACAAAAGGGAAAAATTTTCATGGAAGTGAATACTTTTTGTAGGCACGGCATATAGCTCCACCTCACAGTATTACTGACACATACACAAATCTGAAATTCTCTAATAAAAGATTCAAATAATGCAAGAATTTTCAATATTTATTTGCATCTTTTCCCTGTCATTGTGATTGTATGTGGCTTTATTATTGCTTTTCTTTAAGCAACTGTTGCACACAGAGTCACAGTTTCTGCCATGAAATTGAATTGGGAACAAAGCAGATGTGTTCAGAATGAATCCAGCATTTCTTTTTTTTTACATTATTCACAAAAGACTCAACATCATTTCTTATGAACAGTCAAAATATTTTTTTTACTCATGTGTAAGGTGTATTTTTAAGGAGTTTTCAGTTTTGCTGCTCAAATGCAACAATATTTGCAGTAGTGGACTCAGTACAAGCAAAAACCCATGCAATCATAGTCGCCCAATGATGAAAAAAACTGTTTCATTGAGTCTACAGGCTACAGTGGATGCTTTAGTTTGACCAACTAAAGATGCGTTGCGTTGAAGCAGTAAAACTAATAATAATAATTACCATCGTCCGCCATGGCAGCTCCCTCTTCTCCTTGTCGTACCAGTTCAGGAGCTGAGAGCGAAATCGCACAACATCAGCAGGATCAGAGAACGTGTGGTACGATGAAGACGCATCTGTGCTTTCTTCTGGAAGACAATAAAACATCATTTAAACCAAACACACTCTTTACAAGGCAAACTCCAAACCATAAAACAATCCAAACATACCCCAGGAAGAGTCAGATTTCTTAAGCACTGATGTAATGTAGAGCATTCTGGGTGTCAGGAGGCAGATTTTCATATCATAAATAAGCATTTTTCCTCTTTACGACTTCTCTGGAAGCCGAGGGATGATTTAAAATAAGTTGGTGCAGACATTTGGACTTTACTTCTTATATGAATGTGAACGTTAACAGAACATTTAATAATGATTCTCTACAACATATATTAACTAAAGCTGCAACTATTGACTATTTTTACTGCCTAATAATCCGTCTATTATTTTTTTAATTAATTAATTAGTTGTTTACTCCATTAAATGTGAGAAAATAGTAAAAATGTGCTGATTGAAGTTTCCCAAAATCCAAGATGATGTCCTGGAACATCTTTGTTTTGTCCACAAAACAAAAATATTCAGTAGAATTAAATGAGAACAAATATATAAAACTGGAATCTTACAATTTTCACCTTCTTTTCTTAAAAAAAAAACAAACAAACAAAAAAAACACTAGAAAATAATTGGCAATCACTTTAGTAGCTGACAAGTAAATATGTAATCAATGAATCACTGCAGTTCAGATCTTTATGGTGTTGTAACTCTGTGGCTGCAAAATTCACCACAGTTCTGACAAATATGAATTTAAAATGAAGCTGCCTTATTATTACAATGTGGCTGTTGTGTTATATTGCATTGCATTTATAGTATACAGTAGCAGGTACACTAGTAGTAGTGCAATAAATGAGTATAGTGGTAATGTGAATAATCTTAAACTCTGCAGAAAAAGAAGGTTTCAGAGTTTACGTGTACATTTCATGGTGTACAGGATACATAAACACGTTGTGCTGCCTCATATTAATGTGTATAAATGAAGTAAATCTGGCATTTCTATTAAAATCTACCAGGTTAAGCAACACGAGCAGCTCAGTTCACCTTGTTTCACAGCCGTCTTTGGCGTCTTCTGTCTCGGTGCTGCTGTTTCTGTCGCCTCCAGCGCGACTCTCTTTCCTTTCTGCATCGCTGAACGCAGCCTGCTCATAGTCAAACACCGAATACACACACTTTTATTTCATTTCTGTCCCTGCAGCTCTGCAGGCTTGTTTACCTCATGGACTCACTTCAGGCTCCCGCCACCTTCAGGAAGGAAGGACGCCGCTCGACCAATCAGCTGCAAGGAAACTGGGGACGTAGGGGTGACGTCATCGCTGGTGGGCGGGTCAAAATCCAAGTTATGTAAAAGTCACTTCTCTTATATTTATTATTATAGATCAGCTTCATCTTCAGCCTGGATTTAAAGATGTTTTCAGCCCAGATTTAAAATAAGAAAATTGTAAATAAATGCCCTAATTTAATGCAAAGATCTACAATAAATAACAACACTATGCATTTATTATAATTAATACATGAAACATTCCCAGCTAATTACTTAAAATAAGACAATTATCTTTTTTTTTCTGTTGCAGGCTTTTTGAAATTTTATGCTTGAATATACCAATGAGGTATTATTTATCTAAAACTGCCATAATTTGCATTCATTTCCACAACAGATATCTAAACGGCAGACATTCAAGCTTCTAACTTAGTTTGGTCTGTTGACATGTCAGAGCTACAAGCTTTTTAAGAGGGGATTTTGGATATTTTTTCCTCCTTTTTAACCACTTCATCAAAAACAACATCATCAACAACAACAAATCAGCCTTTAAAAATGTTTTGTAAAATGATTATATATATATAAAAAGTCATGATACCACCACAAACCTTCCCCAATTAATTACTGAAATTAAGACAATTATTTTTTGTGCCACAAGTGTTATGAAGTTTTATCAATATCAGATATGTTATTGTCAAACAGAAAATACACTAGCTGGTGCACATTTTGAAAATTTGATGCAAAAACCTGCCATCAGACCGGTAAAAAATAAAACAAAAATTATTAGAAATAAAACAATTACAATATGCATATATAAAAACTATATAAATACACACACACACATATATATACACTTACACACCTGCATACATACACATCCGCACACATTTATTTCACAGTGAAAGTAGTAATAATAATAATAATAATATCTTTATTTATAGAGCACTTTTCATACAGAAATGTAGCACAAAGTGCTTTCCAATTTAAAAACATAAAACAAACAAAAACAAAAACACGCACACATAGTAGCAGTAGTATCTCATTGAAGAGCCATTACTTTGTATAAATGTACTAAAGTGAATTGTAGAAAAATAAACACTCAAATCTGCATTTTGATTTCTTTCCTCTAGTCTGGAAGGAAAATATCCCCAAAATCTCAAAATCGATCAGTGCATGAAAAATGTTTTGCTCTGCCGTGTATTACCTTAATTCCACATATGAACAATGGCAGCCAGCAAAGGTTATGAAATAACATTTTATTAACATAAAAACACAGTATTGACACAACCTTTTTAAAAGAAAAAAAAAAGTTATTCTTCTGCATCAGTGACATGATTTTGCTCTTCTGGTCAAGAGTCAGTATCATCCATCACTGGAAAACACAGAGAAAATTCTCACATCGTGGTTTAGGAACATAAGACAAATGTTTGACCAACCTTTGGATGAAACTGATCCTTACCGTGTGATATGTTGACCTGGTTTGATAGCAGGACTTCTGCTTGTGCTTCATCCATATTCATGTACAAAGTGTCAGCTTTGTCCTGCAGAAACAATGTGATTAGATTTCACTTCCAGCAGATTTCCTACTAAAATCTTAACTAATGTTCTTGTAGCATTCAATGTGTTATGAAAGCTCACCATGAAAGCTGCAAACAGCGAGCTGCCCAGGACTCTCTGCACATGTTCCTCAATGACTGGGAAGGAGCGGACAAAGTGCTGGACAGAGATGAAAACAGACACTAAGTGTTAATGCACTTATGGATGTGAGCGTATGTCTGCAGATACGTGAAGGTTGGAATTTGAGTGATACATAATACATTACAAACAGTAAGTAAGCAAGTTTGATAGGAAAATCTTTAGTCTGTTTTATGCTGTATTGTTAACTTTGCACTTTCTGTTTTTAATTTTACACAAGAGGAAAACAGGACTTTGCACAAACACAAATCAGTGAATTTTTTGCATAGTAAATATGAGCTTTTGTTGGTCCGAATGAGGCATTTTATTGGAAGTATGCATCATCACAAAATCTCAAAGTATATGTTTTTTTTATTACTTATTATGTGTACCAAAAAGTCACAGCATATCGTCTTTAATAACCGAACATACACACATGTATTTGTGGTGGTGTGTGTGTGTACATAATGCATGCACAAACACTCACCAGGCAGCTTATTAGGAATTTATTAGTATATCAAGAAATCTAACAGTATCCACTACAACAACACTGCCATGAATTCTACTTTTTAAGTTTTTGTTGATGCTGTCAGCTGATAATTCACCTTCATATTTATTACTGGTCTTAGTAGAAGTTGGTGGTGTTCTGGACACAAGTGTTCCTAACATATTGCCACCCTGATGTATGTGAATCAAGTGGACCAAACATGAGGAGCACTTTAAAAAATAATGTATTTTAATAAAGAACCACCACCCACTATGATCTCATAGTGATCTCACATAATCACCTTTTGGACAATGTTAGCAAACACTGAAAATGTAGCAGCGTTATTTATTATGGAGTTGTTGTACTGATTTCATTAGATTTGACAGGCGTACTTTGTAAAGTAATAAATAAAGTCTATGAAAGCATGTACGTACCTTCAGGGCTCGGCTGGCTTGTATCTGGGCATCAGCGTGTTCTCTGTTGCCCATCGCATGCAGAAGATGTTGGATCACTCCAAGAGAGAGAAGCTCACGAGAAAGCTCTCGATCTTCTTCTGACAGCAACCTTCAACACATCAGACATCATAAAAATATAGAAATAATGCATGACAACAGCTGAAACTGCCACACACAGGATACATGTATAGAAAGGCCTTATGGCAGAAATAGAAGATAAAAACAACAATAGAATAGAATAGAATAGAATAGAATAGAATAGAATATTGAAGATTAGAATAGAATAGAATAGAATAGAATAGAATAGAATAGAATGCTTTCATTGTCATCATACACAAAGTACAAGGAAATTAAAAGACAATTCCAGTGGTGCAAAATACAAGTATAAAAGACAAATAAGAATATATAAATATATTTACAAAAGGAGACAGTAGGAAGTATATATAGTTTATTCTCCCAGATGGTAAAATATATATATATAAAATAAGTATATATCATCAATAAGAATATATCTGAAATAAAAAAGAAGTCAGAAATAACTATATATGAAACAAATATACATGTACTGACTACATATTAATGAGTCACATACATCTACAAACATACATTCATGTCTCCACATATACATCTACTTATATGCATGCCTCCTTACATGCAAACTGAGCTACAATAAGAGTGAGAATTACGTTAACACGGTATAAAAGTATGTGCAATATAACACGAAAGGAGAATATTGGTGGTGCAGCTAAGCAGAGATGTGAAGTCAGTGAAGGTGTTGGCAGTTGTTTGGAGGTGTGAATCAGTTTCATGGCCTGAGGGTAGAAACAGCCTCTGAGCCTTTAAATCCTACATTTCCGCCTCCTGTACAGTCTGAGAAAGGTCAACACTGAAAGGCAACATACTGGTAACATACAGTAAATATTACACCTTAGAATATTTAACCTATATTTAAAGTTCTTACCGTATCGTTTTAGCTGCAGCAGCTTGTTGCACAAACACAGACAGAGATCCGGACATCTTTATCATCTCAGCCTCTAGAGGACAACAAAACATGCAACAGTTAAATTGACATCTTATTGCCCAAATGATAGCATATTGGGTTTGGACAGGTGGTAAAATCTCGCTACAGAAATTGCACCCTTTTTTCAGACATGGGAAGGTTTTCTCTTGTGACATCCCTCTGCTGTCATGATCCGTCTACAGGAGGTGCTGCAGGAACAGTTTTACTCTGAGCTCGCTGACAAAGAGACCTGTCACCTTCTGTAATCTGGTTCTCTACTTCTTCTTTAATAGGCCTCAGCAGAGCCACAAGTTCTGGGAGCAGCACAGCCTTCACATCGTAACGCTTGAGGTCCAAGATGAGATTAATAGCTGACGGAAAGATAGACGGAGAGAGAACAGTTAATACAGGATGGCAACTTTTCATCCATTTGGCTTGTGGAGTAGTTTGGCATTTTACAGCATAAAAAAACACAAATTTGTCGGATAATGATATTAAGAATAACAATAAAATTTATCAGACACAGTAAATGTTTCATAATCTGCTCTTCTTACCTTCATCCTGGACTTCCAGATGCAGAGATCTGAGCATAGTAAGCAGAGGCTCGACAATGCTGTGATGAGCAGATTTCAGTTTCAACTGTGAGAGAGAATCATTTGATCAAATGTAAAATCACAAATAAACATTAGCTTTGCAGTTCCCTGTCAAGATGAGACTAAGACTGAGGGGTGGCTGTGGCTCAGGTGGTAGCGCGGGTTGTCCACTGATGGCAAGGTTGGCGGTTCGGTCCCCAGTTCCCCCCACATGCCAAAATGTCCTTGGGCAAGACCCTGAACCCCAAATGGCTCCCAATGGCAGATTAGAGCCTTGCATGGCAGCTCTGTCGCCATGTGTGTGTGAATGGATGAATGAGAAACATTGTAAAGCGCTTTGAGTGCCGCAAAGGTAGAAAAGCGCTATATAAGTGCAGACCATTTGCCATTTAAGTTTGAGTGCATGCTCTGAGAAATCACATATTTGCTCATCATATAGTTTTGGCGTCACCTGCAGAGTGTGTAAGGTGTGCAGGACCAGCTGCTGGGCCTTCGGTGAGCCACAAGCCAAGAGGGCGATCAGACTCTTGTAGATTTGGTCTTGATATTTGGGGTTTCCATGAGACAAGGAGTCCAAGAGGGCCAACGCTGTCTCCTGGCATTCATCTGTGTTCGATGTGGCGAAACACTCTGCTGTGACTTTGACACCTGCAGGAATACAGAATGCAGAACAAATACTGTGCAAAAGGAAAGAGGGAAAAACAAGAACCTGTATCTATATACCTCGTATGAATGCAGCTAAAACACAGCTTTAATTTCACTGATCGTATGTGAACGTTACCGTGGCTCTCACAGATAATCTCCTTGTATCTGCGACCGGCGCTGGAGACGGTGATCAGAAGACGAAGGGCTTCAGCCTTGTCTTCCTCTTTGCTCTGAGAGTGGCTCACAATGTCTAAAAGAGTCAGAACGCCTCCGTCCTGCGTGAACTCCATCAGGTATTGATCGCTGAGGAAAAGCCAGAAAGGTGGGTCACTGCAAACACTGCTTAACTGCTCAGGAATGCAGTATTTTAGTTTACTCACTAGCTAGAAGCAGATAAGAAAATCCCAATTGCTTTCAGCTGGAGTCCCAAAAATGTCCCAAACATGTATCTGAGCGCTCAGTGAAGGAGTCTCGGCTGATCACACTGTCATCCTAGTGCAGAGAAATAAATTCTCTTCAGGGAAACCCATTATTTTCTTGACATCTTCAGCGATTGCAGTTATCCAACTCACCCCTCACTGATATCCAAGTGTGCATGAGCAGAAATGTCTGGATGTGCTTCATGCTGTCAGAAAGTACAGCTCAGAAACAGAATGTATGAAGAACACTGCATTCACTGTAGTGCTTTAATGTTATTTAAGGCCCTGAAATTTAAACTGCAATGATTAGTGCTCACAAAATAAATCCTGCAGGAACATTGATTTTAACAATTTGAAGACATTAAGAAAGTGTCAGAAAGTAACTAAGTACATTTACTCAAGTACTATACTTCATTTTCTACTTTGTACTTCCACTGTGATACAACCCAAAGGAAAATATTACACTTTTGACTACAATTATTTGACAGGATTAGTTATTTTTAGGATTAAGATTTGACACAATGTATGATATGAAAAGCTTTGAAAATATATAACACATTGTTAAACTCATACTATCGTAAACATCCAGTGTTAATTCCTTTCTGTAATTCAACTTATATGCATTATATTTATCTACTCTTAACTTTTTAATGCTTTTTTCAATGTCATGTGTGTTTACAGTTATGGGTACAAATATCCATCATGTCATATCTGCATATGTAAAAGGTTCACACAATGTATATAAACTTTAATTAGTTTTATTTTCATCTTTATTTTAGTTTTGTGTGTTTTCTTTTGGTTCTCTTGCCTAATTTTCCCCCTTCTGCTAAGGCCTTTTGAGCTACTAGTTAATATCTCCAGTTAGAGATCAATAGTCTATCTTTATCTTTAAAGATCAATAAAGATTTCCAATGTCCTGGGCTTCTGAGGCATGTTTCAGCTCCACCAACTAGTGATTTTTCGACTTCATGCATGGTTTCATTCAACAAAAAAGTTCAATTTTGTCCCCAAAAATCAAAGATTTGGGAGAAAATTTCAAAAACTGAAAACAAATTTGGGAATCACAGCTTTACTTTTCTTCTCTCCTCTCCGAATAACCAACTGAGCTCAGACTAATCTGGTTTCTCTGTATGCTGACAATATAAAGTGAGCAGCTCCAACAGTAACATATGTTAGCATATGCTGCTGCTGTTGCTTCACTATTAACAAACTGATGCTTCTCTATTAATGATGCAATAATGTCCTATATGATAATAAATCAGTCACAGGGACCAAACCAGGACTTTTATCTAAATACTTTAATTACTGCTGGTAGGATTACTTGTTTACTTTGACTTCAGAAGGTTTTTTTTTTATCTCAGGACTTTGACTCGTAGTGAGTATTTCCCCCATGCCAGTACCGGTGACTGTAAGGATACGTGAGTCTCATCCAGGTGCTGAGTCGAGCCAGGAACAGACTGGCCACCTGAGCAAACTCCAGCTCCAGCTCGTAAAACGTCTTCCCGGTGTTTCGGCTCAGAAAGGTGTTCAACATGCGGCTCCGGACCGTCCTGTCGCCGCGGTCCCACTCTCGAAGGAAGCTCAGAACTTTACCGATGTTCGCTTGTTCTTCTTGTGTCGACGTCATGTTTGTTTTCCTGCTTTAACTTAATGTAAGCAACAAAGAAGAACTGCAGACAGACTTCTAGCTGCTATAAGCTAAAGAAATACAATTAATTACTCACTTTGTCCTCAAAAAGTCCTTTTTCTTGATTTGCGTCTTCTTCTACACTTTGTTTACAGTAGCTGGGCAACGGTTGCCTGGCAACGACCTGCAATCTCTGACTCTCAAAGCACGAGGACTTTCTATCTATCTATCTATCTATCTATCTATCTATCTATCTACACTTTGCTGTTGCTCTACAGCTCTTCCCTGTTTTATGAAATCACAGATAACTAGTAAAAATACAGAAAAAGAACATTAATTAACATGTTAACACTAAAAAAATAACTAATTAACAACTTTTGACAGTAAAATTAAACCATTTTTACAATGTTTAAATCAGCAAAAAGTGCAGTTAATTTACGGATCTTTCCTTTTGAAGGGAGGTTTGTGTTCGACATTCATTGATTTAATGCTGGTGATGATGACAGCCAGTCAAAGAGCAAGTCCATCCATCAGAGTGACGTTATCCTCACAACTCAATGAATTTTGGGAATCTCAACAAAAGAGGAGGATGAATGAGGGATCGTCTATAATCTAACATCCACAATAGTCTCACCTTTAACCAGCATGTTATCCAAGAAACGTAAACATGACCAAGCTTGTCCTACAGTTTAACAAGCGCCGTGTCACTGGAAGTTGTTTGAGCTGATTCTGATCATTACTGCTTCTGTGGTTTGTGTATGTTTCCATAATCTGATGGTGAGAGGAGGAAGGTGGTGGCTTACGCTCTTCATTTTTTCTTAAAACTGTCTGATTTATTGTATTCTATTTATCAGGTAAGTGTAGACTCATCAGACAACACTAGTGCAGACATGTATAAAACATTTTTTATCCATTGAGTCATTCAAAACATTAACTCCAAATGATAACCCACGTCAAGAACATAATTAACACTTGCTGCAGGAAGACAGCGCAATTAATGAAACGGATGAGAACATGCGCCTCGGTGTGTCAGCGGTTGTTTCCAGAGGTTATGTTGTGTGATTAAAAGAAAGCATCACTTGTGTGTAATAATACAGAGAGAGAAACAATTAACATTACTCATTAAAAGTCCCAGTGTGTAGCTTGTAAATGATCCTTGTCAAATAGCATAAACTGCAGCAGAGGAAGAAGAATGTGAATCTTTACTTATTGAAATAAGCAGTATCACAATGCAACGGTTACGAGTGAAAGTCCTGGAATATGTTACTGAGGTAGAATAAAAACAGGAATACACAAACCACAGCTTCACAGCGAGTCACTATGTGTCTGTTAATGTGGCTACCTTTACATTTCTGAAAGAATTTGCACCGCTGAGGTACAAGATAAACTTCTGCATCATTACTTCATCTTATTTTATCTCCTTTAGAAAGGCCCTGTGTTGAAATCTTCTTTAAATACCCTTATTATATGCAGTTAGGCTACACAGTTCGTTTTTGTTCTGGGTTCAGGAACAGCCAGCAGTAAAAGAAGTACTCTGATCTTGTACTTGTACGTATTCAACTTTGTCGTTAAGTTAAACTACACAAGTATTAGCATCAAATTATACTTAAAGTTTCAAAAGTTTTGCAGAGGAGTAGAAGTATAAAGAAGCAGAAGATGCTCAAGCAAAAAACAAGTAAATAAAAACTGCACTTTAGTTCAGTAGTTGAGTAAATGTAATTAGTTACTTTACACAATTAGTTAAAGGTTGATTCTGCCAAACTGTTTGGTGGTTTTACTCCCGTATGCAGCCTGTATGTGTATATGTCAAGTAGGCTTTTAGGAATAATGTGAAACATTCCTTTAAAATGTGGACTATAAGTGCATACTTAAGTAAATCCATCCATTATCTATACACCGCTTAATCCTCACTAGGGTCATGGGGGGCTGGAGTCTATCCCAGCTGACTCAGGGTGAAGGCAGGGGACACCCTGGACAGGTCACCAGTCTATCACAGGGCTACACTTGGAGACAGACAACCACTGGTTACCTGTCCAGGGTGTCCCCTGCCTTCACCCTGAGTCAGCTGGGATAGACTCCAGCCCCCCACGACCCTAGTGAGGATTAAGCGGTGTATAGATAATGGATGGATGGAACTGGCTTTTTCTTTACATTCAAAGGTATTTTTAATTTCCAGTCTTAACCATCTGAAAATTTTCAGGCATGTTAAAATAAGGAAGGGGACTTGAAATCCTAAACTCAAGGTGAAGAAAAAAAAAATGTTAATGAGCCAATTTAATTAAGTACCTCAACTTCAATTTAGTTTCAAATAACATGGAAATATGGGTTGAAACTGCAGACAGCATTAAGCTGAAGCAGTTACAAACATCATTGTGCCTATGCAACTTATCAAAATAAGGTTAATCTAAATCTGTAAGTTTGATATAGCTTTATTAGTTTTCTTTTTTATGACCATGCATTTCATTAAGAGTTGGCTCCTTGGATGACTTTGGTGCGTAATGGAGGGTCCATCCCAGACCTCTCCGCCTCTGGCTGTTATTATCTGAAGCCGGGCCTGAGTTGCCACCAGGTGGGGGTAATAAGAGGCTGAGACCGTCGCTCTGCTGGAGGTTTGCTGCCCTCCGCAGGCTGCTTCCCGGTAAATGTGGCTCTCTCTCTTTTTTTTTTTTTTTCGGAGATAAAGAAGGAACATCTCGGTGTAGCGAAGAAAACCCCCACAGTGTATCTCCGCGCAAACGGGGCAAGCTTTACGATTTTCCGCCACACAAATCACCATCCTGCAGCCGCTGGGTTGCGCTTTCCTTCCACGCAGATGCTCCACAATCACCGGGACGCACTTTTAATCTGCGCAAAACAAAAAAAAAAGCCAAATAAAGCGGCCGCTTCACGTGTTACGAAGCGACACTTTTACGCAGATCCCTCGACGCGCCGTTTGTGTTCCAAATCACATTTCACACGTTTGTATCACCTCACACGACCCAAGTGTGGCTTTTTTTTTTTACGCGTGTGTGGTGGTGTTTTTTATTTTAAAAAGAATGGATGAGTGAATTAATGGCAGAAAAAAAAGACCGGCATGGCGCGTCAGAAGAACACAGGGAGAGTGACAAGGACGGGGAGAGGGAGAAAGAAAGGGGAGGGGAGCTGACATTAAAGCAACACAACAAGGAAACTACACTGCGGAGCCACAGACGCCTTCATTTTATGTTTTTGAATAATAGCCGGAGCTAGTGTGGCGAAGTGGTGTCTGTGAACAAACCTGCCCGGATCCGCTCGAGCCCCGGACCGCAGCCTCAAGTGCCCCGAAAACGGAGCCGCTTCGAAGCGAGTTGGATTTTTTTTTTTTTAAAGGCGCTTCGCTTTCAGAGATATGGGTGAGAATAATGAAAAGAGGGCTTCTTCTTTTTTTTTTTTTTTTTTTTAATTGTGAGGGGAAATTAACTGCAAGCAGAAGAGAGAGGAGGGGGGGAAGCAGGCCTCTTCTTTGCGGACAGAGCCTAATGGGAGGTGGAAACAAAGGCCAGCATAGCTTAGCCGTAATTAATGAAATGCCAATTTAGATTATCTTTTGGCTGTTTTGGCCCCCCTTGAGATTCCTTTCACCATGACAGGATTGCTATCATTTTTTTGTAGCACGCTGCTGTAGTAATGAATGATGCTGGCTGCCATTACTGTGGAGCTTTTATTAGGAGAGAGAGAGAGAGAGAGAGGAGGGAAATAAAAAGTCATTATAATTAAAAAAAAAACACATTTACATTGACTTTGCTCCTGATTGGAAACCAGGTGCTTGGATCGTTTTAAAACACTTGAGTGAATGAGGAAGCATTAAACACATGCAGGGGGTTAGTTTTTGTTGTTATTTTTTATTTTTTAACAAAGTATTGCAGCCACTCCAGCAGCCCTGATGTCTGCATGCTTCTGTGACCCCTTCAGGCTCCGAGCCACCCAGCTCTCCACAGGTGGTGGAGGATGGAGGTGAGGAGGACGAGGAGGAGCTGAGCGGAGGCGAGGAGGCAGATCTGAGGTCCAGCTCGGGCCGGGGATCCCTGCTGACCCGGAGGGGCATCACCCTGAGGGTGCTGCTCAAGGACGGCCTGGTGGAGCCCGGCGACGGCGTGCTGGCCATCCACTACCTGGTAATAACAAGCTGAGAGGGCTGGTATTTATTATTTACACCAATGTAGTGTCAGCTGACTCTCATTCAACACAGCCACACTGGTTATACCGTCTCTCTCCTCTCTGGTCCCCCTCGTCCAGGGTAAGAACTTCGTAGGAGACCTGTTGAATGATGGGAAAATCCGCTGGGTGGAGACGGGCCAGATTTTCAACTCCCCCAGCGCCTGGGCGACACACTGTAAGCGTCTGGTGAACCCGGCCAAGAAGTCTGGCTGCGGCTGGGCGTCCGTGCGCTACAGGGGACAGAAGCTGGTCCAGTACAAAACCACCTGGCTGCACAAGTATCAGCCCAGCGCAGACATGGTGAGAGCACGAGTCCGCTTCCCATTCACATCTCTGAGGCCGCCCCAAGCAAAGGATGAGCCGGTCCAAGTGTTTGCTTGAGGCCAAAATGTTCTTCTGAAGCGATTCAGTACCAAGAAAAAGCAGCTGTTTTGGAATGTTGGGACTGGATGATGAAGCCTTTAAATGTTTTAGTAGTTAGTGCGGCTCATACGACAGGACAGTTAGCCTGTTAGTGGAAGTTTGGTTACAGCTGTGATGTTAGAAAGGAAAAGCAAAGAAGAAACAAAATCAGATCTGATTGTGAAAGAAGGATGATGAAATTATTAGG